TGGAGTGGGACTCTCCCAAGTCCCAAGACGTAGTCTTGAGGAAAAAATGCTCGTCGGGTGAGGAACTAGCTGTCTCGGCATTGTTGGGCCGTTACACATTTCAAGGGGACGGGAGGCTGCCCAGGGAAGCTCTGATGAAAATCTGTGTGAAGAAGCCCGATATGAGCTCGATCTTGCAGTTTGATTGTGTGGCCTCCAATAGAGGAGAGCTCGATTTCGACATTCAGAATGCTCATTGCATATCGTCCTCTAAATCCTTTGATTCCTCAACATATAGAGGACCCTTGTTCAGGTATAGTTCTTTTGAGGTTAAGGGTATGTTTGGTAAGCCAAATAAGCTAGCTTTTAGCTTATTTGGTTAGCTTATAAGTTCCCTGTTTAAAATAAGCCTCGTTTGGTAGGACGAGCTTTTTTAAAAAGCTCGAGCTTATTTCATAAGCTACTTTAGGTAGCTTTTCAAATAAGCTAGTTGAATTTTTTTATTTCAGTTAGCTTATCAGCTAATTTACCAAACACCTTTTATCATATAAGCTAGCTTTTCAGCTATAAGTCATAAGCTATAAGCTCAAAATTACATATAAGCTATAAGCTAGCTTATCAGCTATCAGCTAGCTTATCAGCTAATTTTACCAAACATAGCCTAACTGTCTGTGTTTTGTTGATGTTGAGATGTGGGAGCAAACTTTAGGACTCGAATGGGCCAGTTTCAATCTGTTGGTTTGAATGTATATCTTACCTGCTGGGAATATTTGGTTCCCTTCCTCTCGGCTACCATTTATCTAGCTATATATTAAATGTCAGAGTTTATTAATTCTTTTTTTAGTCTAAATTGAAAATTAAATATTTATTAAATTCTCGTTATTTTAGTCTAAATTGAAAATTAAATATCAACATTTACATCATTTTCAATTTAATCCCAACATTTTGATTTTGGCAATGAGCTTTTGATTTTTTCGTTTGCAAATCGAAGCACGTAGTCAACAAACCGACTCTATCTACTTTAGATAATGTGTCAGCCTCTAGCAGCCGGTTTGTTGACTGCATGCTTCGATTTACAAAAAATGAAAGCTTGTGCTTTTTATTGCCGAAATTAAAAGGTTAGATTAAATTGCAAATGAAGTAAAGGTTGGGATTTAGTATACAATTTAGCCTTGTTTTTTATACCTACTTCTGCTTAACATTGTCGAGTTTGATGGGCTTTGTTTTGTCTTTGGGCACGAGTCATAGTCTGACCTAGGAATCGAACATTTCTGCACAAAAAAAAAAATAAAATTATATTTCGCATACTGATCTGGAATGAGGATTAGTATATTTTGTTGTGATAGTTTTTCTTTTCCTTGTCCTTCTCCAAGAAAATGTTGTACAACTTACTCGACAAGTTCCATTGGAGTTCGATATTTGTCCCTTTTTTTAATTTTTTATACGGACAGATAGGATTCCCTGTTGGGAAGTACTTACTCGATGCAACTTATTCCTATAATGAACTCAAGAACAAGATAAGTCGGGTCATATATTACACAAAGACCTTATAATTGGTCTCGTTTTGGCTAGAGAAATGTTTACTAATTCACTGCTAAATCTTTTTTTCTTACCACAGTGATTTGGACCCGTCTTTGCAAAATGGGCTGAGACAATACTTAGCTGCTAGAGGCATAGAAAAGAACTTTGCAAACTCACTCCTTATCCATCTGCACAATAAGGAGCACGGTCAATACATGAACTGGTTGCAAAAACTGACGAATATGATGATGAAAAACGAGTAGAAATAAATGTACCCAAACTCAGCAAACGCCGTTGAAATTTCCAACCGGACCATTTTTGCCGCTATGCTATTGGTATTGTAAGTCTTGTTTAACTCAACTCAGTTGTTGTGAGCGATGCATTTTAACAGTTGATATTCATGATTAAATATGTGAACATGCATTTTAACAGTTGATATTCATGATTAAATATGTGAACATTTTTGGATCTCTAGATAGATTAAAAAAAACTACTTTATTTTGTATGGTATGTTAATCTAATGTGCCGAGGAATAATCTCTCGTCACAACAGATGGTGAGCATATTAATACGTGTACCATGAAATCGCTGTTTTGTTAATTATAAACTGCTTATACAAATAATCCGAAAAAATAAATCAATTCAGAATAAACTATTGAAAAAAAAATGATGGGAATAGAAGATAATGGAGATATAATCACTAAAAACAAAGTCTAGTCCTAAATAATCACATTATTTTATGAACACTTGTAACAAAATAGGTGAATTTGGTTCCCTTTTAAGTTGTCTTCTTCTACCTGGGCTTGAATGTCACTTTTTAAAATATATTCATGATTAGCATAAAAAATTAACCAGCAAATCTTGTTGGTTTTCTTCATATCATTGGATGTGACAATTACATTATAGTCCACAACTTTTGAGGTATGGCTTTTCAGTCCTTGTGTTACCTTGATTGGATCATATGGTACCTTAAAAACTTTTTTCAGATTTGTACTTGAAACCTTATCCAATTATGTTGGAGCTAAATATTCAAGAAATACATCAAGTACAGTATTAAATTTATCTCTAAATTTGTGTACAATTTTAGAATTTACACTTGTGAGTTGTCTATGATTGGAAAATATGTTTAACTTATAAATCTAATTGGTTATTCCTACTACCATCAATTGGTTTTAGGATTGAATCTCACGGTTCATCTAGGCTCGCTCTGCTTTGGTGCGCTTCACGTCCGTGAATCACACCCGTCAACTCCGTTTCTTCATGGTATCAGAGCCGGTTCACCCAGCCAAGTTGGACTGGCATATGTGGGACCGTACACTGACGTACCCGTCACCCATCCCAGTTGGGCTTGATGTTGGGAATATCACTTGTGAGTTGTCCCACATTGATTTGATAGGATAAATGAGCCTAGTTTATAAGTCTAGTGGGCTACTCCTCCCATCACCAATTGGTTTTGGGATGGAACCTCACTTGGGCTTCATTTGGGCTAACACTCTTATGGTGCGCTTCACCTGTGTGGGACC